GTACAAAACTTAATTGGCTGAATTACTGCTTTTTTCTATTCTTTTTTTAAAGAAAGGTGAAAACATAAAAATTGCTAGTGTGAATGTTAAAATAAGTCATTACAGTTTTGAAGCAAGAGGGGCCACCAGAACTGGACTGGGTGTCAGTCTTATATGACCAACATGCAGAAAAATGTTTATGAGAGAAGAATGGAGATTGTAACACTTTAGTAATCAGGATTCCCCTAAAATAATTATGTTGAAATGAAATTTACAAGTTTTATTGAATACATTTCTGGCATGTCACAATGTGCAGCAATAGTTTAATTTTTTAAAAAAATATGTCCACATTTTATAATTACAAATATGTCTTTGAGCTCCAGTCCAGGGGCTTTGTATAAACTGAGATGATGTCACCAGTCTGCTGCAGGGAGGGGACAGCTTTTTCTCAAGCTTCATGTATACTAGCATTTTTTATAAGCCCAAAAAATGTTAGAAAAAAAAAGCTGTATGCAAAACGCTAATAATAGCATATTTGCACTGGCTTGTAGTAGCATTTTAATAGCTTTTTGGAGTGTTTAGGAGCTTTTAGGAGTATTATTAATTTATGAGTGTTTTTACAGTACATGTAGAAAAAAAAGCTAGAAAAAAGCTGTTAGAGGCATTTTAGTAGTGTTCAGCGGGGTTTCTGCCGGAAAAAGGTTCCCAAAAACACTACAAAAACTATTTTTTTCTGCTCCTAAATGCTAAAGCTTGAAAAACGCTACTAGCTTAAAATAGTGTGCATGGGCACATAGGATACCACTATTTAGCTTCTAGAAGTTTAAAGCAGAAATCCGGGCAAACATATTTTTGAACCGTGTAGTGGGGCTGTGCCCGCACTGCATGGACTAACTGCTTGTTTTTGTCTAGGGGTGATAACAGTGATTATATACTGTACTTAGCAAATTCACCGATCCTCGGAGCTCAAGATTGGTCCCTGCCACTTCTGCCCCCTGCACGCTAGCGGTCTTGTGAATGGACTGGTCCCTGACGTCATCACGCCCAGAGACCAGCTCCAGGCGAGGACGGCAGGAACAGTCCACCGCTGGGCATGGAGGATCAGAGGGCAGGGTAAGTAGAGCTCTTCCCTAAACCCCTGGACAAAATTAGCAGTTTAAATAAAAAATTTACATGGAGTTCTGCTTTAAAAAAAAAAATGCTACTGTGCATGGAGCCTCAGTCTCCTCTCCCTAAAATACAACATTGTATCTTTGTAGAAATCCTCAAGATAAGAGCCTACAGCAGGGGTCGATCTGTGTCATACAATTTTTAAACACAGACAAAAACTGCACAGTTGAAAGCGGAGGGGTTAGAACATCTGTCAGGTTTTTATTACTGTGTGTCTTCTTTTCCCAGTGACACCCGCACCCTCTCATTTCTTGTCTTGGTGTCAATAGAACAGGAAGTGCGATCTCCAAAGTGGCTACAGCAAGACAAACTTGAAAACGGTCTGACTGCTGCCTACTCCATCAAATACTAAATACATTTTGGCTGGAAATAGGCTTTCAGCCCAAAAGCATCAGAGAGGTCCTAATTCATCAAACTGCAATATCACATACAAAGTGCTAAACAGTTCTTAAAGGGGTTCTAAAGGCAGAAGGTTTTTACCTTAATGCACCCTTAATGCACACAGCATGGTTCTCTGCTATTAGCTGTGGGCGTGAAGCCTTATTTAAAGCAATGGGAACCTGACAGCCCCTGCAGCTATTCGTGGCTATTCACATGTAATCGCTTACACAGTGATTACCTGCAGATGATCAGCTCTGGATGCAGACTGTCTGCTTGCAATAGGAGTTTCAATGGGAAACCTGCTGTACCTCCTGCGGGTAAACGCAAACTGCTCCATTCACCAGAGTGAAATGAGCCTTGGATGCCTTAGAAGCTGTTACAGCTTGATGAACCAGTTTCTCTATACATTTTCCATAAAGCCTTTTGGTGGAAGTGAAATACCAAACACAATTTGGTATTACACAGTAGTGGGAAAGGCTACATTAAGCAGTTGGTGTATATCAGTTTTTACTAGCAGAATTTTAATTGTTTGAGACTTAGATAAATACTTGGTCATTGTCATCCAAATGAGAATTAAAATGCAAACTCAATAAAGGAGAATATATTCAAGCATTGTGTCCACAGTGTTAATCTTTGAGGCCCACCAGCAGATGGGATAACGAAGGTTCTGCCTCGCGTTCATCTTGAAAATCTCTCTCTAGAAAGCTTTTTTGTTAAACCATCCAACCAATGGACTTTCTACTGCATGGCCCCGTATCCCATTTTCTATCTCCCAACCACATCAATCCTTAGAGCCAAGCACTCGACTACTCTTCCAAAGTGGTCCCAAGTCTCAGAGTTAAATGGACTTCAGAAACATCTGCTCACTCTCTCCATTTTCCTCTACAAATTGCCCGCTTGCCTATAAATAAATGATAAGGTAATTTAATCATGTGTGTTCTTGGTTACGGCACTGTTTGCGTCTCAGAAAATTTTAAACAACAGATGAATGGCTTTTGGTGACGGAGCCGGGCTTGTTGTCCTCTAGAGGGGAGCAATTAAAGTCTTGTTGTTAGTTACAGATATATTCATCCACCAAGCAAAGTGCTGGTCCCATCTGCTCAATCTAGGATTTTAGTTTTCTCCTGCAACAGGAGCATGGATGAGATGCCGATACGACAACCTGGTGGACAATCAACTTTTATGATAGTAGTAACGTTCCTGATTTATATTGGAGCTGCCAGGCTGATGTTCTAGCGGAGTCTCTGGAGATATAGAGTGTAGCAAGGAAAAGTTCTTATCTTGTCTGGTAAAGGCCTTGTTTGAAGTCAAGGTCATCAAACCAGGGATTATAATCGAGGTTGGATACCTTTGAAAAGGTAAGTAGTAGGTTGGCTGCAACTCAATACCTGGTGTCCTCTGCAGGCTGTAGTTCTGTGGGTTAAAAGGAATAATAATTTCATGGAAGGAATGTATCATATTTTAAAGGTAAATACTATTTTTAATCCATTTGTCAAAATATATGTTTACTTTTTTGGCCTATAAGCTTTGTATTAAAGTAGAGCTAAAGGCAACATTTTTAAAACATTTTTGCATAGAGTAAGAGAGAGTTATAAACCCTGCCAGTTTTTTTGCCATCTATATCCCCATTTGATAGATTTCCCTTCACTTCCTGTCACATAGCCAAAACAGGAAATGAGAAGAAATCCCACCAAGATGAAGAAATCCCGTGTTGTCACCAGGATCAGCAGAACTAGTGTCCCCATTGGAATATTTCCCCTCTGTCCCTAGTCTGGTGACAACCCAAAATTTGGGATTTTCTTACACTTTCACCTTCGCCAATAACAGGGCAACTATAGAGGGTAAATCATCCCTGTGGGAACACAGACAGCAGTTAAAATCTGACAGGAGTTCTAATCCCTCTCCTCTCCAAAAAAATTACCTTTAGTTATATTTTAAATAATCAACTGCTGGTTTCCGTTTACAAGAAAAAAATGCAGTTTACAGTTCCCAAGCCATCCATCTGTGTGCTCTGCCCCATAACCACTTACCATTATATCTGTGGTTGGTGCAGGAACCATGTCTGCTGCGGTTAGGTGTTGGAGGCCTCCAAAATTACCTAGTTTTTCATATTTTCTCCACTTCGCTCGGCGATTTTGAAACCAAATCTTGAATTTTAAGAAGATTGAAAGGAGCACAATTAGTCAGTGTGATTAGAAAAATATTACTGTATATCAGAAAGTCTTCCATTTTAAAGGAGGAACCTGTTTTAAAGGCTTTTAGAATAGCAACCAAGATTTTTCACTTATAATCCTCTTCTTTCAGATAATTCCTTGCGCAACACTGCGGACTGGAGGAGGGAGGTGCAGCAATGGTGAGCTAATCACCCACTACTGCAATGTACAATGCTGCTAATCTAATGCTGGGAGCTGGCTGACAGGAGGAGAAATCAAAGTAAGGAGACTAAGGACCTTTTTTATTGTGCTGCTGTTCATTTATTGTCCAATCAGCAACCTAGGGTGAATCAGTGACCAAACCGAAGTGCTCTACTGTGGTGGAGAATTGTGAGATTATTATTCCTATTATGCAGTATGGCAGGGAAATGTGAATCATGATACTAGCTAAACAGAACTGAAAAAATGTTGTCAGATAATACTAATCACATATACAGTGTAATGTATGTTTGTGTTAGCCCACATAGTATAAATTAACTACCGTATTTTTCGCACCATAAGACGCACTTTTTCCCCCCAAAAAAAAAGGGGGGAAAATGTCAGTGCGTCTTATGGAGCAAATATGGAGCGGCCGGTCCGGTATTTCCACTGCCGCCGTGTCAGAATACCGGGCCGGCCGCTCAGCTCTACAGCGGGACCTTATAGAGATGACTGCTGACCTTTGGGGAGGGGGGGAGCGGGTACCTGAATTTGACAGATACCCGCTCCCACTTCCGTGGAGTTGTTCTTTCATCTTACCCGTTCCTCTATCTTCCCGGCTTCTGTAGTGTGGGCATGACAGCCGGGTGCGCATGCGCAGGAAGCGGTGCTTTTTGTGAATGGTAAGGCGGCACCTGGGACACATGACAGATCCCAGAAGCCGCCGGACCAATCACAAAGCGCAAGTGCTTCTCGCTCATGCGCACTGGGCACCCGGCTGTCATGCCGAGCACCATTACAGAAGCCGGGAAGACAGTGCGCGGCTGGATAGAGGAACAGGTAAGATGAAAGAACAACTCCGCGGAAGTGGGAGCGGGTATCTGTCAAATTCAGGTACCCGCTCCCCCCCTCCCCCCCTCCCCAAAGGTCAGCAGTCATCCCCTGTACTATCCACAGTCTCTGGTCATCCCTGTGCTGTCCGCAGTCTCTGGTCATCCCTGTGCTGTCCGCAGTCTCTGGTCATCCCCTGTACTGTGTCCGCAGTCTCTGGTCATCCCTGTACTGTGTCCGCAGTCTCTGGTCATCCCCTGCACTGTGTCTGCAGTCTCTGGTCATCTCCTGCACTGTGTCCGCAGTCTCTGGTCATCTCCTGCACTGTGTCCGCAGTCTCTGGTCATCTCCTGTACTATGTCCGTAGTCTCTGGTCATCTCCTGTACTTTGTCCGCAGTCTCTGGTCATCTCCTGTACTGTGTCCGCAGTCTCTGGTCATCTCCTGTACTGTGTCCGCAGTCTCTGGTCATCTCCTGTACTGTGTCCGCAGTCCCTGGTCATCTCCTGTACTATGTCTGCAGTCCATTAGTTCAGAATTTTTTTTCCTGTTTTCTGCCTCTAAAACCTAGGTGCTTCTTATGGAGCGAAAAATACGGTAATTACATTCCAGCTGCATCAAAACAAATGGTGCTCAGATTAGTCTTTTTTTTTTTTTTAGAAAGCAGCCACAGCTTGAATAGCAGCCACAGCCTTTCCCCTGCCAGCATGCTGAAGAAAGGACCCTTGTCACTGTGTGGAAACAGTAGTTTCTCTACCAACCAAAATTTGACACTCCCTATGCTGACTCAGAGCTAAAGTTCTCTAATCAGCAGGGAAAATGAGCTTTGTTGTTTGCAGTGCTTAAAGTGGTTACAAATCCTTAAATATACTCAGTATAGTGACTATCCTTGGTTGTACCTATTTTTCTGCAGTCATCTCTTCTCTACATCCATTTATAGTCCAGAATTTACACTGCTTGGCTTCCAGAGGCAGGGGGATGGGATATTTAATGTTACACACTGCACAACTCAGAAAGCAGAACTGAGTGTAATCTTAGATTTGATTGGGGGGAATGGACACACTCCCCTTTACACAGTGTCATATGGAAACATACACAGCTGAGGCTGTCAATCACAGGCTGTGTGCTGGAGCCCCCCTTTCCCATCCTCTGGGTTCTGCATACCCTGTCAAAATGACTCCTACAGATAGCAGAGAAACAAGACTACAGACAGAGATCACAAACAGTGGTTTGGATTGAGGCAATTACACACTATAGAAAATAATATGCTTTCTTCATTTTTCATGCCACTGTATCTGGTCTCCCACAGTACACAGAACATGGAAATGCAATTATTTTAGTAAATACAGACTGCTAAATACCTTTTCTCATCAGCAGTTAGAGCAGTCTTGTGACTTCTATCAGTGTTCAGCAGAGCACTGGTTAAAGCTTGTAGGAGGAGTTTTCTTTCTGCTCTATGAGGATGCAGAACCCCTGTCTTCTGTCTGGACAGTGCTGATTGGCCCTGTGCTGATCACATGTACTCTTTCAAGGAAAAAAAAAACCTCTCTTGCAATACACACCAAACTGAGCATGTACAGAGTGTCTCCACAGGATGTGTCTTATTAGGAGATAAAAGGGTGACACTGGAAAAAAGGGAGGATCAGAGAAGGCAGGATCAAACACTGTTTTTACACAATGCAGAGGATTAACCCCTTAGGTTCCACAGTGAGTATAACAAGCATGCTTTACTGCATATACAGACTGATTTTACTGTTGTGGGTTTAGTAACACTTTAAGGTCTGACTCATTAAGGTGGTGTCAGAGCTCTGCAGAGAGACCACTGCTTCCACAGCACAATAAGAGTTTCTCTCGGCAGCATGCTGTCAGGCCACAAGCTTTTCTGCTTAAGCTGCGGCTGTTTAACTGCCTCCCACTCTCCATATAAGGGAATGACGGGCACAAGGCGGTTCTCTTGTTCTGGGAGGATGTCACTCTAACCGCGCATGCGCGGATCTGGGAATGGCGATCGGTGGTGCTCTGTTTCCCTCGGACACAGCGGATCACCGATCAACAGAAAGAGCCGAAGATGTCGGCTCGGTCATGTGATCAGCTGTGTCCAATCACAGCTGATCACATGTAAATAGGGATATGCCGGTTATCGGCATTTCTCTCCTCACGAGCTGTCACACTGACAGCTTGACAGGAGAGCCGGTAATCGGCATTCCTCGGAGGGGACATGTACACTGATCATCAGGGGACTGATGATCAGTGTGCCCTGATAATCAGTTTAGCCCCAGCAGTGCCACTTGTCAGTGCCCAGCAATTCCAGCTGTCAGTGCTCATCAATGCCACCTGCCAGTGCCCATCAGTGCCACATATCAGTGCCTACCAGTGCACATATCAGTGCCCATCTGAGCTGCCTTTCAGTGCCACCTATCAGTGCCAGTCAGTGCCACCTATCAATGCCAGTCAGTGCCACCTATCAGTGCTGCCAATCAGTGCCACCTATCAGTGTCAGTCAGTGCCGCCTATCAGTGCCACTTATCAGTGCCCGTCAATGCTGCCTATCAGTGCCGCCTAACAGTGCCAGTCAGTGCCACCTATCATTGCCAGTCAGTTCCGCCTATCAGTGGCACCTACAAGTGACACCTATCAGTGCCATATATGAGTTCTGCCTTTCAGTGCCCATCAGTGATGCCTGTCAATGCCCATCAGTGCCACCTACTAGTGCCTCCTCATCAGTGCCCATCCGTGCCACCTATCAGTGCCCATCAGTGCAGCCTATCAGTGCCCATCAGTGCAGCCTCATTATCGCACATCAGTGAAGGAGAAAAATAACTTATTTACCAAATTTTATAACAAAAACTAAGAAAAAACTTTTTTTTAAAAAAATTTTCAGTTGTTTTTGGTTTGTTTAGCAAAAAATAAAAAACCTATAGGTGATTAAATACCACCAAAAGAAAGCTTTATCTATCTCAAAAAAATTATAAAAATGTCATATGGGTACAGTGTTGCATGACAGCGCAATTGTCATTCAAAGTGCGACAGCACTGAAAGCTGAAAACTGACCTGGGCAGGAAGGGGGTATAAGTGCCCTGTAGGCAAGTGGTTAAATTGTTTCCCTGAATTCAGTCTTACAACAAATTCAAAATCATCACACCAGTCATGCCATTCATCATGACAATAATAAATGCCCTTCAAGTGGCTGTACTGTTCAAAAGAGAAAAAAATGGGTTTGTTTTTTTAAAGACTTAAAGACAATCACAGAAAATAATTGAGAAATTTACAAAGGAATTGGCCCTGGAATTTCAAATCAATCAATGTAATGAATCATTAATCCTGTCTCATATCACTCATAGAGATTTTTTTATTAGATTTGGTGGATGTTGAACTTAATTTATTGCCTTCATGTCTACACTTCAGTGAAATATTTACGCAGGGGCACTGTGACTTTCAATGGAGAGTTCTGGTGCTGTGCCATTTTGATAAAGAAATAAGTGAGAGAGAGACATACTGAGGATACCTTTCTGTTAAATAATATCAAGGATAAATATATATATAAACCTGCGCTAATAAGAACCACAATAGATCAATAATTAAAAATGAGGTGTAAAACATATAGCAGCTGAACACAAAAACCCTGATACTAGACAATCAACAATAAATACATGGAAGTGCAGCACTTAAAAAGTTACAAATAATCATAAGAAAACAGCGAAAATGTGTCAAAAAATATTTGATCCAAACATAAAAGAAAGGTCCCAGAGGCTGTGATGAAACAAAAGAAAAAACCAAGGACAGTTGTCGTGCCCCTGATGACGTTACCTGAGACGAAACGCATAGGGTGGAGCCACACGCACACACTACTGCGCATGCGCCAACGGCCAGCGGGCATTTTGGAAATTGGAAAATTTGGATTTTTTGCCAATCAATGCCTAATGATGTTTGCTTACATGTGAGTGCAACCATACTTTAAGTAAATGTTGTTATTATGGTTTTACACTATGTATCCTAGATTGTAAGCTCGAAAGAGCAGGGCCCTCAATCCCCTCATGTTTTGCATTGTATTGGTATTGTTCTGTCACATGTTCTGTCCCCCTTTGTAATGTACAGCGCTGAGCGAACTATTGACACTTTATAAATACTGTATAATAATAATAATAATAATGTGGTGTGTTTTTTCTTTGCATGTTTTCCACTAGGAGTCCAAGCCTTATCCTGAATGGTTTAGCAACCCTAATTCAAGTCTATTGTTTGGAAGATCCTTATCTGCTGTTTTGGTGATCTGGAGGAGGATTCCAGTGACTTGCTTTCTGGATTGTTTAACAAAGTGTGATTGACCACTCTTAACAGGGGGTCATGCCTTTCTGGTAAGCATTCTGTAATAGTGGTTGGTGACAGGACAACTGTCCTTGGTTTTCTTTGTTTCATCACAGCCTCTGGGACTTTTCTTTTCTCTTATTTTTGGATGGACTATTTTGTTGACACATTTTTTACTGTTTTTGTATGATTATTTGGTAAATAACATTGACAGGAGCAGAATTGGAATGGGAAAGATCAGGAAGTCATATTTTGAAAGGCTTATTTAGGGTCCTACAGTCCAACTTGTTACCTGAAGGTCACATGTAGTACTTTGATACTTGTCATGTGGCCCTCGGACCCTAGCAGGTGTATAGTTGGAGCGGGAACATTGATTTGCAAAGAGGAATTAGCAGTGATCTCGGTCTCTTCAGTCCATTCACATCTTGCGATGTAATTGAGATCACATTGCAATCGCAGCACAACGTGCTCTGTGCAATAAACATAGTCCACAAAGAAAGCATGCTCTTCCAAGGATCACCTGAGAGACTGGTAACTGGTTTTCTGGCCCAAATTCCTTGAAATGTAGCAATAATCCTCTGCTACAATAAGCCGGCTACTCGGTAACATCCATTGGAAAAATTCTTTATTGGCTACATAACAGGATACAGTAAAAACATGCCAACGCTTATCGACTGAAGCCTTACTCGTAGCATGCTATAAGTAAGGCTCCAGCTGAAACACGTTGGCGGCATGTTTTTACTGTATCCTGTTATGTAGCCAATAAAATTTTTTTCCAATGGATGTTACTGAGTAGCCGGCTTATTGTATCAGAGAACATGTTTCATGTGTTTAGGTGCTATTATCCTCAAATAGCAACCCAAACGGAATATGATTCTGTTGCATTTGTCACCTTCACAAATCATGTGAAGACTGGAAAAAAAGGAGCAGGAGCTGTCGCGAACGTGCGCGCCAGAGGCAGGTACGGCCCTCCATTTTGTTAAGAGTTCTCCATGTTCTCCCCTCATTCTCTCCCCCCCCCCCTCTCTGAGAGGCACAGTGACATTTAGTCAGTGTGTGTGTGTGTTAGGAGTGTCACAGGAGGCCAGAGCCCAGCAGGGGGCTAGGAGCTATAAAATCCCCAAGGGAGCTGGGGCCTAGCTGACCAAAGAACCTGTGCAACTTAACACCTCAAAAAACGATAACTCAGCCTTCCCAGGTGTTCAAAAGACATTCCAAGGAAGCACGACCAGATAACCCTTTTAAAAATCCATTTTTCCCCTATGTCTCATATCTTGGATTACGAGAGACTTACATAAAAACCAGGCATATCGTCAGATTGGCCAAGAGGAGACGAACAGTTTGATAGGTCACTCTCCTTGTCTCGAATACATAGGAAAGCAGAAAAGTAGATCTCGTGAACCATTCAGTGTAGAATTTCATAATTTATAACTAATCAATCCTCAGACGTGTCTGCATAATCTACCCCGTTTCACTTGTGCATATGAAGAGTTATGAGCCAAAATATGAAGTACACGAGATTTTGGCTCTAGTTTAGGTCTATGCCCAGACCTTCCCACCCTAAACGGGGTATTGGTCCTTGACTTCAGAGACACCCCCTGCTGGGGAACTACAAATTGGGTTGTCAGGCCTAAGAAGAGTTAAGTTGAAGAAGTCTCCCATTTGAACATCAGAACCACCTGGGGAGACCCGTACCCTTTCGCTCTGAAACTTGATCTGCAAACCCAAGGCTGATTGGCAAGCACTTTAACCCTTTAACCTCCTTCTGTTACCTCTTTGCTGTGCTGTTGTTCTCTGTATATTTATATATACAATGGTTACATCTTTTTTCTGTAAATATTTTTATTGCACCCTTTTTGACCTTTTAGTAATAGATCTTTCCTTCTCAAAGTGGTGAACTGTTTCTATAGCTCTTAATTGCAATTTACGAATTCCTGCCTCTAAAAAGAGTGCTACTGTGTTTGTTTAACCCTCTGTATAACCGGCCTGCGGTGGCCGTGCTATACAGACGATTATCTCAACCATTATAGTGTTATAGCTGATAATGCCGAGTTTCCTCTTTCTCTGTACAAAAAGGAGGTGGTGGCAGTGTGAAGGGTTAATTGCGTAATTAACCTGAGCCAGTAACAATCACTCAGGCTGCCGGTACATAGATTGTGGTCCAATTAGCTGGAAAATCATTGTGCAGGGTGCAGCTGGGTGTGGCATTGTTACGCACGTGACATCGTTTTAGATTGGCTAGTCCTTCGGTCACGAGTTTGGTGAGAAGGGCTGGGGTCTGATGCCGCGTTCGTCACATATTGGTGACAGCGATTGTGGGATCGTCACATATTGGTGGCAGCGATCTTGCGTCCATCACAGGAGCTTCTTTTTGGGTCCAAATGCGTATAGGGCAGCCCTTTAAGTGAACAGTATGCCCTATGCTACATGCAGAATCACGTGAAAATCGCATGTCAAAATTGCATAGCAATTTTTGTTCTTACTATGCCATAATATGAACAGAGCTTTTCTTTATTTTGTAGTACATCTTCAGTCTCTAGCCAATGGCCTGATTCACAGGGGCAGAATAAAAACAACGCTTTTAGAAGCATATTCCATTTTTCTTTTTTTTAAGCCTCTGAATGCAGCTGTATACAATGGTGTATTTAGGTTTTGTGCTGCCCTAGGCAACACAAAAATTGGCTCCCCCCATTGACCAACACCCTAGCCCCCACCCAAGAGAGCCTTCCACTACCACTGCCCCCCATACACTGGCAAACCTCACCCCCCACCCCGACAAGAGATAAGACACGCACCTTCACAGCTCCAGACATCCCCGGGAACAACAGTCAGGCTCTGCATACACCATGAAACAGCCCGCAGCCTCTCTCAGATCCCACCTGGTCCCCGTGCTGCGTGTGTCCCTTCTTCCTTTCCTTCTTTTGGGGGACAGCGCTGCCCCCCTGAAAAATGCTGCCCTAGGCAAATGACTTGTTTGCCTTGTGGTAATTACACCGCTGGCTGTATATTAGCCAATGTGTACATGCGCATTGTGCCATTTAGATTTGCATTACAGAGCACCGTTTACAGGCATAAACAAAATGCTCCAAGCCTGCATTAGGAGAGAAGTGTACTGGCATAATTTTGCATATGCACACATAAACACGTGCGTAATTTCAGTCTACTGACTAGAACAAATGAATATTCTAGCCACTAGGATGAAATTACGCACATATGTCTTATGCACATGAACATGTGTAAATACATACCAGACTGAGTATTTTTTTACACTTTTTTTTCAACTCCTGGCATGTCCCCAGTCTCTGACCATCATTTTTACTAGTATATTTGCAGTCTTGACACCCCTTTCCAACATTACATACTGTACTGTATACTAAGCATTATGTGCAGACCTTTTGTGATGTAGGAAGCCGCAGTTGAGGGCACTTACAATTGCCCCAGGACACGCTATTCATTAGCACAGATTTATGCTCAGTCACTAACATTTGGCAATATATGTTATTGCATGCAATAAGTGTTCACTGTGTTACATTCGTCATATTTATCAAAGGATGAATGTTACCTTCCCTGCACATTCACCTGACATTCACTGAACACATTTACATTTGCAATCCAGGCAATTAAACAAATGCACTTCACATTTGTATTATTTAATACATATATATATATATATATAAAATGTATTTTTCGCTCCATAAGATGCACCTGACCATAAAACGCGCCTAGGTTTTAGAGGGGGAAAACAAGAAAAAAAATATTCTGAACCAATGGACTGCAGACATAGTACAGGAAATGACCAGAGACTACAGACTCAGTACAGGAGATGACCAGAGACTGCAAACACAGTACAGGAGATCACCAGAGACTGCGTACACAATACAGGAGATGACCAGAGACTGCGGACAAAGTACAGGAGATGACCAGAGACTGCGGACAAAGTACAGGAGATGACCAGAGACTGCGGACAAAGTACAGGAGATGACCAGAGACTGCGGACACAGTACAGATGACCAGAGACTGTGGACATAGCACAGGAGATGACCAGAGACTGCGGACAGTATAGGGGATGGCCAGAGACTGTGGACATAGCACAGGAGATGACCAGAGACTGCGGACATAGTACAGGAAATGACCAGAGACTGCGGACACAGTACAGGAGATGACCAGAGACTGCGGACACAGTACAGGGGATGACCAGAGACTGCGGACACAGTGCAGGGGATGACCAGAGACTGCGGACACAGTACAGGAGATAACCAGAGACTGCGGACATAGTACAGGGGATGACCAGAGACTGCGAACACAGTGCAGGGGATGACCAGAGACTGCGGACACAGTACAAGAGATGACCAGAGACTGCAGACAGTGCAGGGGATGACCAAGAGACTGTGGACCTTTGGGGAAGGAGGGGGAGCGGGTTGCTGAATTTGACAGGTACCCGCTCCCACTTCCGCGGAGTTGTCCTCCCTAGTGTGGGCACCCGGCTGTGACAGAATGCAGAATTGCCTATATTGTAAAATCACTATGGAGGTACAGTATATGTGATTTCTGGTACATTGCTGTTCATTCTGAATTACATTCTAATGCAGCTGAAGAAACTCACCTGCTCTTCAGTGCACTACAATGCAAGCGCATTTAGACTTATTAAGTGCATACTTAAAATGAATGCATGAAAAACGTGCCCGAAGGTGTGAATACAGCCTTTTACATTAAAATTGGACTCAATATTTTAACTCCACAGTTCATAGTATATCCACTGCTGGCAAAAAGAAAAAAAAAAAAAGGATTTGTACCCCTAGACCGCACCTGCACTCTGGTTTCTGGAAGTTTAATCTTTGCGGCCAGCTTGTCCCTCATCTGGACATCGGGATAATGTGTCAAATGGAAGATCCTCTCCAGTTCTTGCACTTGATCCATGCTGAAAGTAGTTCTGACCCGTTTTTTGTTCTTACAGATATCTGCAAGAAAAAGACACATATAAGACATATTTACATTGATGTTGATCCATTATATGGTGTGTTTTTTTGTGTTCACTCACACTTGGATGTTTTTCTTGAACATTTTTGCTTAGCTTTTATGTTGTTTGTCATTGTGTTGATATATACCATAAATTGTAAGTTTTGATTTCAATGCCTGCATTTATATGCTCTTTAATGTGTGCCTTTTAATTTATTTAAGATGAAAGGGACCCTTTCAATTTTATAAAGACCACGACTAAGGAGAGGTTCACACCTATGCAGTTTGCGTTTGATCCTTTTCTGCAGTGCTTTTTGCAGTGCGTTTTTGCACACAGCAAATATGCACTATATGCTTTTCTGCAGCGTCTCCATTGAAGTCTACAGAACCAAAAATGCAACTTTTTGCATTTAAAAAAGTCCCTGACCCTCTCCAAAAAACGCACCGGGTGAAAATGTGGATATGTGAATGTGTCTCATAAGAAATCAAGTTAAATGTTAGATTGTAAGCTCCTAGGATCAGGGTCCTCCTAACCCTCTTGTATTGAACTGTATTGTTGCTGTATTGTCTCCCGTTATATTGTAAAGTGCTGAGCAAACTGTTGTATAAATCCTGTATAATATTAATAATAAATGGACTGCTGTGCGTTTCTGCTAAGCGCAAAATGCTGCGGAAAACACTTAGGTGCGAACCTAGCCTAAAAGTTGTACAATAGGGTGTACACTCATCAGGTGGCCTGTGTTGTCTACCTTCCCTCCAATCAAATGCTGTAGCCTCCATGAGGCTGTATATAATTCAGCACCTCTGGGAGGATCAGGTGGCTGTATCCTCCACTGATTACCATGGTTCAATGTTCTGTTCTCTATGACAGAGCAGTGATGTAGGGATTAGAGGACTGAACTCCAATGCCCAACACAGCCACCCACACAAGCTGAAATGTTGAATGCTGAAGGGTTCATTCACACGTGTGGATAACATACCTATTATTATTATTATTATACAGTATTTATAAAGTGCCAACAGTTCGCTCAACGCTGTACATTACAATGGGAGACAGAACATGCAACAGTACGATAACAATACAATGCAAAACATGAGGGGATTGAGGGCCCTGCTCTTTCGAGCTTACAATCTAGGAGGGAGGGGATAGTGGTACAGGAGGAAGTGGCTGTGGGGGATGGATTGATAGGAGGAGTGGAGGAGGTCGGCAATTAGCAGGGGGTGGGGTAGGCTTCCCTGAAAAGGTGGGTTTTCAGGGTGCGCCTAAAGGAGAGGAGAGTAGGTGATAGTCTGATGGATTGGGGTAGGGAGTTCCAGAGGATTGGAGACATCCTGGAGAAATCCTGGAGGCGGGCATGGGGGGGAGGAGACCAGGGAACTAGAGAGAAGGAGGTCTTGTGAGGAGCGGAGAGTGCGTGTTGGGTGGTATTTAGATACTAGGTCGGTGATGTAGTTTGGGGCAGTATGATGGACAGCTTTGTACGTCAGTGTTAGGATTTTGAATTTGATCCGTTGGGCAATCGGAAGCCAGTGGAGGGATTGGCAGAGGGGGGTGGCGGAAACGGAGCTGTTGGTAAGGTGGATGAGTCTGGCTGCCGTATTCAGGATCGACTGAAGCGGGGATAACCAGCGGCGAGGCAGGCCAGTGAGGAGGGAGTTGCAGTAGTCGAGTCGTGATATGATGAGGGAGTGGATGAGCTGCTTAGTGGTTTCTGGGGTTAGGAACGTGTGTATTTTGGCGATGTTGCGGAGGTGGAGTCTGCATGAATTTGTTAGTGATTGGACTTGGGGCTGGAAGGACAGATTGGAATCAAGTATGACCCCAAGTACTCTGGCTTGTGGGGCGGGCCTGATGGTGGCATTGTTGGACCTGATGGAGAAGTCAGTAGGGGGTGGTGTGGGGCTGGGGGGAAGACGAGGAGCTCGGTTTTGGAGAGGTTCAGTTTAAGGAAGTGGAGCGACATCCAGTCTGATATGTCGTTCAGTAGGCTTGTGATTCGGGCGAAGACTGAGGGGGTGAGGGGTGGAGAGATAGATTTGCGTGTCGTCGGCATAGAGGTGATAGTTGAAGCCGTGAGAGTGTATCAGTTGGCCAAGGGAGGAGGTGTAGATGGAGAGGAGAAGGGGCCCAAGGACAGAGCCTTGAGGGACCCCAACAGAGAGGGGGAGTGATGGGGAGGTGGTAGCGTTGTAGGTAACGCTGAAGGAGCGTTGTGATAGGTAGGATGAGAGCCAGGAGAGAGCAGAGTCTCTGAGGCCAACAGTTACAGTTATCTGCAATTTATTGCTTTTCAGAGAGCATTTGACATGTGGTGAGGAGGTGATTTGTTGCCTCCTTATCAATTGCTTTAACCCTTTAATATGTTGCACCACCGCACCAAAACTGCATACATTTTACATGGATCCAGGGAGGTTGCATCACAACCCCAATCAATTGAATGGGTTATGTTCGTTGATGGTACTGCAGGCTGAAGGCAACATGCCGTTTAATTCTTCCAATGGTATGTGTATAGCCCTGAGTGGCTGAATTGGTTAGGTGGTAGTCAGAGGGTCTGTAAAACTCTGGCTCAGTAGCCTCATTTTACCACTCCCTGACTGCTTGTGTAAGAGAACCCCTACTGAGACAGCAGTGCTGGAAAGGAGGAAAAGTAGAAGACACCCACTTCTATGGAGTATATATGCTCTTCTGTTGCAGGGAACTTCATTCTCAATCTTTGTAAAACTTGACAAGGTTGCTTTAGAGCAAATCTGTTGTTACATACCAAAATTGTAAGCTCTAACTGTAACGCTTATCTATCCCACAACTGTGCCATGGATCTTCTCCTTAGCATCCAACACTCTTTTTAGAGTATTGGACACCTAATCCCTCACAGAATGTTGTGCTTTCACCCACCAGACACTCCCTCACTATAGGACACAGTATTGATGCAGCAGCCTACGGGTAAAACTACAGAGCACATCAAGGAGACCAGGCAAAACTATCAGATTTGACATCTAGCAGCGGCACCACACCTCTGAAAGAGAATGCAGCCAGATAAATACAGCAGAGGGTTGGAAGGAGGAGGAGTAACTGCTCTGACTCATTCAGCTTGAGCTTTTGAGCTCTGTGCCCAATAGACTTTTGTTCAGGTGCCCAGTTAAGAATAGTCTGAAAAACAAGAAAATTCAATATAGAATTGCACTAAATTGGGATATACAATGTAGTTTCATTACATCATGTCGTAGAGATACACATAAAATGGAAAGATTTTAATACTATTCACATAGAAATAGAAATGTCCTGACAAGTACAATAATGACAATTAAGATCCTTCAGGAGAGTGAGGATCAGTGGCAGGATAGATTGAGGCACTCTGTCTTGCACAAGGGGTCTTAGCGTGGCTGTTGAGCTAAGCAGATCATTATATGTTATAATGAGGCGATTTAAGGGAGTGGATGACTGTGAGCTGCACATCAGAAAACAGAGCTCCTGTTGTAGAGGCACTATCAGGAACATTGTTACATTTCTAAAAGACCCAGGGCACCTCTGGGCACTTAGATTTCTTGCCCCCTTTTTGTATTCATTCTATAATCTTCTCTCTCTATGTTTCATTTCTGCCTTTCTTCCCTCTGGCCTATTTTCCCTTTCCTATTACAGTTTTCATGACAATAGGTCTTTGGCCCTTCACTGACATTGGTGTGAAGTCAAGGAAACCAGACTCAGATTGTCTCTGGGACTGAAAGAGAAAAGAAATCCAAAAGTTTGAGCTGTCAAACGAAAAGGAATAGAGGGGGAAATCTTCCAATGGGGACACCTCTTGCAGTGACAACTAACAAACAACTTCCTTCACTTTTGCTGCCATGAAGGTCCTTATTCAGGCACTTCCTGTTATAAGTGACAACACTCTTCCCATGTCCATGGTATAGTTCTGCATTCTCACCCTGTCACACAGGTTCATACAAGTGGTTGTTTCTACAGGTATGGTTCACTGTTGTCACCATCAGAAAACCCGCTCTGAGAAATGTCATGCAGCCATCATTGGAGTGCATGTAGACAGGAAGTGACTGAATAGAGGCTAGAGGAGATTCGCAACACTGAGATGCAACAAATGATCAAAAATGGGTAAATCAGTACTACAAATAAAAAAGCAATTGCTAAAGGAGAAGTCTCACTAGCTTAAAAAAAAAAATTCTCGTCTATGGATTCATTTAGAATTGCCGTCCTTGCTTCTTCAAAGTGATGCTGAATGATTGTGGAGATAATCCCTTACTTGGTTCACCCCAGCCTTTCAGCTCCTCCCCTGCCAGAAGCCCGATTTGTGGAAAATTCTATTTTGAGCACTGACATCATCCACACTTGTTATATGCAGAGGAATGACTGTTGCACCACTACAGTAAGTTTCAATGAAGACATGGGGGAGAGCACTGACATCCCCTTCTCCCTACATATGGAGCTCAGGCACAGATCCCTGGATTCTGCCCCTACCCGCATGCATGTGAATATTTACTAGAAAGCTGTTCAGACATGATGATCCCTCCTTGTGCTTGTGTTGTGACAGCACTGGCCTTGAGAGCAGAGTGGTCGGACAGCGGGGGGGTGGGGGGGGTGGGGGGTGTTAGGGATGTG